ACATGATGGAAATTGTTGATGAAGACATACAGACATTCATGTAAATATGTAAGAAGGATATCTCATCTCTAATCCAACCTTTAAACTTCACTTTCAAAAGAAGAAGAATATATATATATATATATATATATATATTATACATTTATGAATTAATCAACTTATATGGTCTCATACACGTTTAACCTTTTTTCCAAGCTAAATTAAATTCTGAGTTCTGTCTCCACCTGGTTTGCCATGTTCTCTCTACAGCCCTCATATTGGTCATCAACTGAATTTGGTGCCATATTTAATGGAAATGGCTGTCCTTCAACAGCAGCTCTGTGATCCTGCAGCAACAGGAATCATAATGATCAATCGTCAGTATTCATGTCTGTAATATTCATACTAGAACACAAGCTTACCTGTCCTAGAGCAGCTATAACGAGGAGAAGAAGAGCTTTAATTATCAGCAGCATCTTGATTCAATCAGATCCCTCAGATGATCTTGTAGATCTAGTGAAGAGCAGATGCTGAAAGACAAGAAACACAACAGTGTTTCACAAATACTAAACCAGTATAATAGAAAGCAATATGTACATTGACCTTTCATGTGAGCACCAAATGTACCTGAGAATATTGTTCTGTCTTCTTTTAGTTTTTTTAGGAGTTCAGGAGATCAGAAAAGTCAGCCACTCAGAGGGACGCCAATGACTCCTCAACCCAAAAGATGAGAAAATTGCCTGTTTTATATCCCTGATAGTGTGTGTGTGTGTGTGTGTGTGTGTGTGTGTGTGTGTGTGTGTGTTTGTGTGGTTTCACACTTGAAAAACTCTTGAGTTCCTGTCTGTCTAACATGCCAGATGTTTTCAGCCTGATCTCCTCAAAATGTGTAATAATGGTACATGATGGAAATTGTTGATGAAGACATACAGACATTCATGTAAATATGTAAGAAGGATATCTCATCTCTAATCCAACCTTTAAACTTCACTTTCAAAAGAAGAAGAATATATATATATATATATATATATATATTATACATTTATGAATTAATCAACTTATATGGTTTCATACAAGTTCACAGACAACAGTTAGACATGTATCAGTATGTTTTTATAGACACTAAAAAAAACTAAGGTGTAAGGTCCACCCAATTGGCCGAATGAAGGTATCCAATGGTGGCTGAAGGCTTCTTGCGTGTTCTGTCTTTTCGGGGCACAAAATAATTTTATTTAAATTGATTTTAATTCAAATTGATTATTCTAGTTAACTCTTTGCTCTTATTGTACTCATTCATTGGGATTCTCATGTCGCTCAGAGATCTCGCACTGGTCATTAGCGGACCTCACGATCACATACTAACCAGTCATGGGGCCAGAATTACTTTTGCTGTTAAAATAGTACTGTCAGGATTTACTAAAGACGTGCAGTGAAGAATTAGCACTGAAAAGGCATGGACACAGTTATTTTTGCGCCTGGCCTTACTGAATATGCATTTGTAGGAGTTTTCCTTTCAGACACAGAGTATTAAAATGAATCACGCAATGCGATTTACTAATGTTTGCGCTCGTCAAATCACTGGTATTTGCACCATTATTTAACGCCCAATAAAGCATGCCTTAAAGCAGGCGGTAATTTGTGCTGCTTTTGGTAGATTGTGCTGGTCATTATGGAAATGATCTGGCTGCGTCTGTGTTCTTTAATGTGTGCATTGACAGTAAAT